AAATGCCACATTCTTAATTCATTAACAAAACAAAACAAAACATCTGTGAAATGGGCAACACTTACCAATCAATTATAAACTTCAATATCCTTTAATTTAAAAGGAACTTAAAAATGGATAGGTCTGTTGACCACGACACATAATTAGTCTGCTTGTGGGAGAGACCACACATGACCTGGCTCACCAAACTCTGACAAGGCAACGTCATGTCACTGGTCTGGATACCGACATTACGACTTCTTACAAGAAATACAACCGGTCCGACAGCCGCTCATCTGGTGCTCTGTGTATATTCTGCCCCACCAACTGTGCCAACTTGTGTGCATACTGAAACAATATTAAAGTGTCAGTGGACCTGAATATCAAAGTCCAAAATTTGGTTTTAGCTACATTAAAAGAAATAAGTGTTACCTACCTATAAATGTTCCTGTCACAGTTAAAGTCAAAATATACATTTCCATGACCTCACAATATAATTGGTAAAACACAAGCCATTTTGGTGCGTCGTATTTTGGTTGAAATATGGAAACATGTGAATGGACACAGAAATGCTGTGGCATTTGCCATGTAAGATGGCTGATATAAAAAGTTCTCAGTAATAACCCTAGATAGCAAAATATTCTGCACAAGTCCCCAAAAAGTAATTTTCAGTGAGGCGTAATCTTCCTAAGTTCGTCTGGCCAAGGGGAAGGTGCCTTTTGTATTTACAACTTTTCCTGAGCAGCCATTTTGAGAAACCGGGTAGGATGTCTGAACAGATCTCAGCTTATGCTTGAAGTGAAGCTTTAGCAGTGACTGAAGTTGATGAAAGATCTTGGCTTCCTTTATATACGCTCAGGTAACTGGATTTTAGCCATTTACTTTTAAAATAAATAGCTTTTCAATAATAAAATATGTTCATGGATCTGGAATAGGTCGCAGCTGTGAAAGATCCCGTATTTATGAATGTAATAATTCAAAAAGGCAACAAGATGTGAAAACTAAGAGGGATACAGTAACAAGGTTCAATGATAATGATCAAGGATCCTGAGATGAGATGTGGTGGGATCCAGAAAGGAATATGGGAGAAAGGTAGGGAGGAGATAAAGATATTAAAGGAAAAAAGAAAAATCATGAGGTACTGAGATATAAAAGAACTCACTGCCCACTGCATTTCAATGGACTACAAAGTAAACTTAACAAGCACATTTGACTGCCCACTGCATTTCAATGGACTACAGTGTAAACTTAACAAGCACATTTTGTCCAAAGAATTATAAATGACAAATTAACATCCACGATCTTCAAATTACAACCGAATCAGATATATTAAAAACACATATCATGTCAGTGTCAAGATATGACCATAAATTAAAGGGTACCTATCCCCCATTTACAAATGCAAAGCTTAAAAAATAAAAAAAAATTGGCCAGCTGAGTGATCATTAAATTCTCAGGAAGGATTCCATCCATGGAATTAGTTATGCACTAAAAATAAATAAATTTTAAGTTAATTATTTCATAAATTATAATGCTCCAACATGTGGTCTCCCCTTTTGATTGCCCTGTACCAGTCTGTCACGTGCAGTAACCGGCATGCGCACGATACCTGAAAAAGGATGACTGCTCACCTGGCATGGGGCAGGAACTCTGATGGTACCTGGCCAGTTATAGTACAGATGGCACAGCTTGTATGTCAGCCTCTGCATGTGGTCTGTCTTCATATTGGCGCTGTCATATATGACCACATAGTGAGTTGGGGTAACGGTGCCCTGGAACAAAACCACATCTATGACATGAGGAAATCTGTTTCATTGTCCTTTTGTTCCACCATTCAGTACACAAACACTAATACATATTAATGCAAGAGAAGTCTTTCCCTGAGCCAGCTTAATCCTGTCAATTTCATACTATACCACAACCTATTTCATTCTGTAGTAGTAACAAGTCTGATTTGTGAGCACAGTAAATGTCATCAAGAATCAGACTCAGCGACCTATTCCAGGCAGTACAGCGCAATTTCACAAAAAAAGTGTAAACTGACAATTTTTTTTCATAAAAATGAAATTTCATTAAAACAAATGCAAAACGTACAAATTAATAATGATAATATCTATGTTTCTACAAAGGTCAATGTATTTTTGTCAAACACATGGCACATCATGAGTTCGTAACTCTATTTGCAAGCATAACAACAATTATTCATTCCACATTTATAATTTAAGCTACAATGATCAATATAATATTTACATGATTATGAAAATTATCGTTTATCAGTCACGTGTCAAGGCCCATGCAAAGTTCATCTATGATACATCGCATCAGCAAACTGGTAAACCATTTTACACCAAAGTTACAATCTGGCTGCAACCTCATGTACAGGGGTTTAAATCCCCTATTCTGACACAAAAAAAGTTCATTATGTGTTCTTCACACACGTGTATATACACAAAGCATTTAAATTACATCATGAAACTGGAGCCAGATTTTCATTTGCCATTTCATATCACATCATCCACCGACAACTTCAGCCACTTGCTTGTAACTTTGTTTGCTGACGCAGAGGCTAGAGGAAAAATCCTCTGCCCCCGTCGGGGATCGAACCCCGGTCGTCCAGCCCAAAGACGATTTTGTGATCAGATTCTTTATTATTACTGTCACCAGATACTACTTCTGAAAGATTTTCATCCACACAATCCAAAACTGACATAACATCGTTATTGTCAGTTGTTAAACTATATTTAAATCCCAACTGTTGTATGTAATTATAAATAATGTTTATTAGAAGACATTTTTGTGTCCACACAAGAACTATTCGGCTACATGTTCCAATTTAATGATATCACCGTCCAGTTGCTGTTTATATGCTATCCATTGCATGCATTTTTGAAATTTGATATTTCATTGTAAGCCTTTCCTCAGTTAAGCATCCGTTAACTGTTATGCATACCTGAAATTATAAACTGTTATGATTATTATAAAAATATAGCCAATAAGAATAATATAATTACTTTCACATAAAACACTCAGAAGTTTAATAGTTCAGTTTTACGCACATCTGCGAAGCCCCATACCTGTCGGACATGCTGGCTCACCAGAAAGAAGTCATACCAGTTCCTTCTGGTGATTGTATGGTCTACAATGGTGCCAGGGGGTGGGTTCTCCAGGCCTCTGTCACCTCTTCCTGCATTCTGTAGCATGACATGAAATGTAATTCTGAATGAGGTTGCACAATATGATTCACAAACGCAATTCTGTTACTTGCATTTCGTTACCAAGTCCCATCATTGTAATATTATCAAGATTGTACATACAGCGGGTACTAAGATAAAGAAAATGTTTGGGTAGTTTTCATGTGTATGGATGTAGAACTACAGCAATAAAACAATCAACTGATTCAACCTCAAAACAGTTTCAACAAAATGGGTCCTTACATAAACTGATCCAGAATAATTGCTCTACTCTTACAGATGGCGTGCAAACAAACCATTTCAGTGTCATATTGTCATTAAAATGTACTGCAGCATGAATTACACATTTATCCAACATCTTACTAATTATGAAAGTCAAAAATCTGCTGTACAAGTACGAGCCACAGACAATTCCCACAGCCATCACGCAACAGGTGACGACCACTAAAACAAAATAGCGACAGAGAGTGAAAGAAAGAGACAGCATAAATAAATGTTCACTCATCTGTTATGCCAAGGGTAATGTTTTTGGAATGTTGACCGTCAGTGTAACGTGTATATACACAAAGCATTTAAATTACATCATGAAACTGGAGCCAGATTTTCATTTGCCATTTCATATCACATCATCCACCGACAACTTCAGCCACTTGCTTGTAACTTTGCTTGCTGTATGACGTACTATTTTGTGAGTTAAAGTTTGTCCCGCTACGTGCCATACAGGCACTTGGGGTGAGTGGTCAGCATCACGCCTCAGCCGGCTTTATCCCCGGTACCCATTGTAGAGGAGGCTGGGTGGGCCCCAGAGGCGGTCTGGACGCAGAGGCTAGAGGAAAAATCCTCTGCCCCCGTCGGGGATCGAACCCCGGTCGTCCAGCCCAAAGACGATTTTGTGATCAGATTCTTTATTATTACTGTCACCAGATACTACTTCTGAAAGATTTTCATCCACACAATCCAAAACTGACATAACATCGTTATTGTCAGTTGTTAAACTATATTTAAATCCCAACTGTTGTATGTAATTATAAATAATGTTTATTAGAAGACATTTTTGTGTCCACACAAGAACTATTCGGCTACATGTTCCAATTTAATGATATCACCGTCCAGTTGCTGTTCATATGCTATCCATTACATGTGATTACCAAATTTGATATTTCATTGTAAGCCATTCCTCAGTTAAGCATCCGTTAACTGTTATGCATATCTGAAATTATAAACTGTTATGATTATTATAAAAATATAGCCAATAAGAATAATATAATTACTTTCACATAAAACACTCAGAAGTTTAATAGTTCAGTTTTACGCACATCTGCGAAGCCCCATACCTGTCGGACATGCTGGCTCACCAGAAAGAAGTCATACCAGTTCCTTCTGGTGATTGTATGGTCTACAATGGTGCCAGGGGGTGGGTTCTCCAGGCCTCTGTCACCTCTTCCTGCATTCTGTAGCATGACATGAAATGTAATTCTGAATGAGGTTGCACAAAGTCCCATCATTGTAATATTATCAAGATTGTACATACAGCGGGTACTAAGATAAAGAAAATGTTTGGGTAGTTTTCATGTGTATGGATGTAGAACTACAGCAATAAAACAATCAACTGATTCAACCTCAAAACAGTTTCAACAAAATGGGTCCTTACATAAACTGATCCAGAATAATTGCTCTACTCTTACAGATGGCGTGCAAACAAACCATTTCAGTGTCATATTGTCATTAAAATGTACTGCAGCATGAATTACACATTTATCCAACATCTTACTAATTATGAAAGTCAAAAATCTGCTGTACAAGTACGAGCCACAGACAATTCCCACAGCCATCACGCAACAGGTGACGACCACTAAAACAAAATAGCGACAGAGAGTGAAAGAAAGAGACAGCATAAATAAATGTTCACTCATCTGTTATGCCAAGGGTAATGTTTTTGGAATGTTGACCGTCAGTGTAAGGTTTGAGGTTCTCACAGCGGTGAGTATGAAGATTTCTGTCTTCTGGGTTGTTGTGCCATTGGTCGACGTTTACCATCAGTATTACAAAATAATAATTTTGCCAGTTGCTTATAAAAGATGAGAATTGTGGATGAAAGAACACAAATTATAAATTGCTGAAAAAATGTGGACCTGAACAAGTCAGCAAGAAATTTAAAAATGTTGTTACTTTAACAGATCACTGAGTATCGTTAGAGAAAGTGAAATCCGGGAGGATGCGATGGACTTGGCGTGTGGATGGGAAGTAAAAAGACATGCATACAGAATTTTGGTGGGTACTCTTCTGGTGAAATGTCTACCATGAAGACAGCACAAGTTGGGAGATGCATGAACCTTGCTCAGTAACATGTCAAAATATGTAGATATGTCTGTACCTCACTACGTAACTACATTATAGTAGCAGAATCCAAATTAAAATATATAATATAATTCAGGTCTATACACAAACTTTATTTACAGATGTTAAAATTTAAAATTTGCGCTATTCATCGTTACTACGATGTTACAATACTGCGCCTTCATTTACTACATGTTTCGATGCGTAGCATCATCTTCAGGTTTTTCCTTTAAAACTACTTTATATTACAATGCAAGTTTTTCAATTTATTCATCTGTTTTGTAAATTATTATAGTATGTGTTCTGTTGAT